GGCAGGAATGCACAAAGAAATCGATCTGAGGTGAGGGGTGTATCCGTTTTAGTAATAGGAACTCTAGAAAGAAAGACTTGAGATGGAAGAAATAGGATTATCAAATACTAGAGGAAAACTTCTCAGAGCTAGGGGAAAACAACAATTCTTCAAAACTGAAAGACTTCGTCAATTGCCAAGGAGAATAATGAAAAGAAAAACCCAGATATGTTTCATTAAAATTTTAGACTGTCAGGAACATACCAGAATATTCAAGAAGCTTCCAGAGGCGGGAAAAGCTACCACAAACCCACAAAGGAGTGAGGACTTTTTTTTTTTTTTTTGGCTACGCTGCTGGCATGTGGGATCTAAGTTCCCTGATCAGGGATCGAACCTGCACTCGACGTTCTGATGGAAAATTACTTTGGATCCAAATTCCGTCACCAACCAATGCAAGGTAAAACACCAGACATGCAGTGTCAGAAAACTCTGAGGGTAAACCATTTTCAGTGCGCCTTTTCTGAAACAACTACTCGAGGAGAATGTGTTAGAACAAAATGAAAGTGAACTCCAAGGAGAACAACGTGGGATCCAAGAGCCTGGAACTAATCCAGGAAGGAGATGAGAACAAATCCCAGGAAGACAGCTGAGCGTCAGGCCTGCAAAGACATGGGCATATGTGTATTAGAGTGTTAGACAAACTGTAAGAGCAAACAGCCAGAAAATCACAGAGGTGGGAGGAGACAGCATGGTGCACACCATGTGTACACACGCTTGCCTCTGCACCTCTGTGTATTTGGGTCTTTCTACCCAGAAGGGACCAGGGTACATTAACCAATTTGAAAAAGAAAGAAACCCAGTTACAGTTTTTTTGAAAAAGAAAGAAACCCAGTTACGGTTTTCTGCAGTTTAAACGTTTCCCAAGTATCCTCGACCACCTTTCCCAAGGGCTCTTCTTTTTCTCTTCACACAGGTAGAGAAACATGTGAGTGATGCCATTTCCAAAGGGGCCACCGTTGTCACAGGCGGGAAGCGACATCAAGTTGGAAAAAATTTCTTCGAGCCCACCCTGCTCAGCAACGTCACCCGAGACATGCTCTGCTCTCAGGAAGAGACTTTTGGGCCTGTGGCACCCGTTATCAAGTAAGGTCATCCAGCGGGTTGGAAGACAGGAGAAAGGATAGGAAAGGAAAAGGAAACCCAGAGAGAAATCCAGTTCACGTGTCCTTTGAGGCCTGGGTGGGGGATGGGCTGAAGTAGAGAGCAGGGTTGTATCAGTGGAAGCACTAAGTTCAACGTAACATTTAAAAAATTTTGTTTCTATTATTGCCTCTTTAGACCACAAAATTTACCAAATTCTCTACTTCGCTCTCGCTTTCTGCTGAACTCATTTTTCTTTGTAATGAAGGACATATTTTAAGAGTTCTTTCAAGGGTGTCTGTGGGAAATGAACTGTGTGTTCTTATGTGACCTTTTATCTCACAGTCACAAGTAAATAATAATTTACCTGCAGAAAATTCTAGCTTCAACACTTTGAAGATGTCACACCTTGGTCTACTTACTTCCAGGGTTGTCACTGATAAAGCTGATACCTGGTTCTTACTCCTGTGAAGGGATATGCTTTTTCTCTTTAGAGACTTTTAAAATTTCTCACGGCCTTTGACGTTCTTAGATTTTACCATGGTAGCTTGGGTATGGCACATTGTGAGCTTTTTCAGTCAGAGGTCCTAATGTCTTTCTTAAATGTCTAAAGTGTTTGTTTAGTCCTGGGAAATTCTTGGTCATTATTTCTCCAAATATTTCTCTCTCTTCTATTGCTAATGAAATTTATAGATTAGGGCTTCCCTGGTGGCGCGGTGGTTGAGAGTCCACCTGCCGATGCAGGGGACGCAGGTTCGTGCCCCGGTCCGGGAAGATCCCACATGCCGCGGAGTGGCTGGGTCCGTGAGCCATGGCCGCTGAGCCTGCGCGTCCGGAGCCTGCGCTCCACAATGGGAGAGGCCACAACAGTGAGAGGCCCGCGTACCCCAAAAAAAAAAAAAAAAAAAAAATTATAGATTAATCTGACATTGGGGAAATGAACCACTTGTAGAACTTTCATCTTCTTTGTTTTAATAAAATTTTTTTTACCTGGAGTATGAACTTGACATTTTCCAAGAGGATGCAGTGGTTAGGAATGCAGGCTCTGGAGTTGAGTTGGGTGTAGATTCAGGCTTTGCTACCTCATACCTGTGTCCCCTTGAACAAGTTAACTTCTCTGAGCCTCAGGGTCCTCGATGGGAAAAGGAATAAAAACTAGTACCTGCCTCACAGGACAGCTGTAAGGTTTAAATGACATAATGTACGTAAAGCACTTAGCACATTGCCTGATATCATTATGGTTGTTGTTGTGTAAATAAAGCATTAGGTCAGGGAGGGGGACACAGTTGTTACTAGGGGTCTCTAGTCTCACACTTCTTCTGGGACACAGGGTGGTGGGAGCACCACCCACGTTAGCACAGAAAGGTGAAAATCCTCAAGGATGTCACAACTGATGATGTGATGACTGCATTTTCTTTTTATTTATTTATTTGGTTACACTGGGTCTTAGTGGCTCCAGGGCTCCTTAGTTGCGGCACGTAGCCTTAGTAGCAGCAGGTGGGCTCCTTAGTTGCGGCATGCATATGGGATCTTGTTCCCTGACCAGGGCTCGAACCCGGGCCCCCTGCATTGGGAGCTGAGAGTCTTATCCACTGTGCCACTAGGGAAGTCCTGATGACAGCATTTTCGAGGGACAGGTGGGCAGTGAGGACATGGGTGATGCCCTGTTTTCTGTTCTCTGGCGGATAGAATGGCTTGCTCTCTACAGGTGGAGAGCCAAGCCCTGGGAGACACAGCTGGTCATCCTTGGAAGAAATAATTCTCTTGGGGTCACCCTTCTTGACCTGCCCTCCCCCAGAGCGCTCTCTTCTCTCCCAGCCGTCCTCTTGCATTGACTGGGGTCCGCCAGCTCTGCCCAGTGCCTTCAGAGGGCTGGCTGGCTGGCTGCCACTGCTGCTGGACCTCTGAATTGAAGATCTGGGATGCGGACAATGTTTTGCCCCCAGTTACAGTTCTAGGGCAACAGAAAAAGGCCTCTGAGATGTTGTTCCAGAAATAACGATGATAAAGCTGGAAGTGACTGCATAAGGCTTCCATGCTAGCAGTCTCATTTCCAAGGGGAACAGACCCCCAGCACCGTCACACTGTTCAGAGCATAAGTGGTGGGGCCGACACTAGAGCCCTGGGCCCCAGTGGCCTCTGGATGTTTTCCTTCTCCTACATTATGGCTGGTTCTAAAGTAGTTTTTATGATCGGTTCTTTTTTTTTTTTTTCCGGCCCCGCCTTGTGGCTTGCGGGATCCCAGTTCCCCAGCCAGGGACTGAACCGGGGGCCACAGCAGTGAAAGCGTGGAGTCCCAACCACTGGACCACCAGGGAAGTCCGATCGGTACATATTATTCTTCTTAGTAGGTAGCAAGAGCCCTAATCCTTTTCTTAAGGCATTTTGTTCAACATTCTGAATACTCCACAGTTCCCTGTGTGTCTCCCAATCTATTAGAGATGAACTGGTATTGATCCGAGCTTGCTAGCCTTGAACTCTGCACGGTTGCAGCAAGTGATGGTGTTTTCCTCTGTACTCTCTGCAAAGCTCTGATTAACCCCTCACCCTTATTTGGGAAACAAATCAGGAGGAAATCAGCTGGTTTTCCTTACTCTCCCCTTAGGGATTTTGCTGATGACCCATCTTGACTTTGGCAGGTTTGATACAGAGGAGGAGGCGGTGGCGATCGCTAACGTGGCCAACGTCGGGCTGGCAGGTAGGCGTCCGTCCTCGCTTGGTAGCTGTCATAATCACTTCTCCAGCTGATGCGAGGCTGGCCTTTTAAACGTCACCCTGGGTTTTGAGAAGGCAACTTCATTGGAGCATGTGTTTCATTGCTTTCCCAGGGGCAAGGGTGGGCCTGTGCAAGTCCGTGTTCTTTTGCCTCATTCCCGGATGCAGGATGGGGGCTCCCTGGTTGCAGCTGGGTATGGTCGTGGGAGAAGAAGCAGTGCCGTGTTTCAGGGGGAGAGTCACACGCACCCTGTAAGTCCCATGTTCCCAGAGGCTGATGCCTGGAAATTCCAAGGGCTTTTCCTCCCATTTTGTGTGGCTCCTGGAAGTCTGAACAAAAGAGATAGCGCCCGACCTCACAGAGAGCATTAGGGGCGATGAAGGAAACGAAGGCAGCACAGGCAGAGGGAGTCTCACAGAGTAACTGCTGTTCTTTCAGTTTGGACATGGACAAGGTGGCCACAGAATGTACCCTATGACCCTGACAAAATTATATGTGCATAAATGCACTTAACAAGGGCTTCCCTGGTGGTGCACTGGTTGAGTCTGCCTGCCAATGCAGGGGACACAGGTTCGAGCCCTAGTCCGGGAAGATCCCACATGCTGCAGAGCAACTAAGCCTGTGCGCCACAACTGCTGACCCCACAAGCCACAACTGCTGAGCCCACGTGCCACAACTACTGAAGCCCACTCACCTAGAGCCCATGCTCCACAAGAGAAGCCACCACAATGAGAAGCCCACACACTGCAACGAAGAGTAGCCCCCGCTTGCCACAACTAGAGAAAGCCCACATGCAGCAATGAAGACCCAACACAGCCAAAAATAAATAAATGACTTTATAAAAAAAAATAAGGCATTAAAAAAATGCACTCAACCCATCTGTATTTAGCATCCAGAGTGAATGAAGTGCTGACGAAGATACAAGATACAGCTGTGCTCTATTGGAGCTTCCCCTCTGGGTGGAAGAGAACTGTTGATAACCAGAAGAAGGCCGTGCACACCATAGGGTCCCTTACTCTGCTGCTGAGACTGAGTCTGCCCCTACTCAAAGAGCCTAACGCTGGAGTAAGATGTGCACAAGTGCCTCCATAACGCTGAGTTTGGTATTCCTTTCGTCCCTTCTCGATGGGATGGATGGTGGGGGAAGCTACACTCTGAACCAGGTCATCAAAGATGGGCAGGATTCTGGTTGTGCAGAGATCGGAGGAGAGAAATTCTAGGCAGAGGGGGACCACGGGTGTTAAGAAGTAAGATAGGACAAAGAGGATTGGGTGGACAAGTTTGGTGACAGTGGTTGGTGCCTGGAATAGTGGAAGATAAAGCTGAAAATGTTGACTGAAACCACATTAGGGAGAGTTCAAATACCCACCAGAAATTTAACCTTATTTATAGGTAACAAGGAGTCACTGGAAAGTTTGGGATTAAAAATATCATGTGGGGGCTCCCCTGGTGGCGCAGTGGTTGAGAGTCCGCCTGCCGATGCAGGGGACACGGGTTCGCACCCTGGCCTGGGAAGATCCCACATGCCGCGGAGCGGCTGGGCCCGTGAGCCATGGCCACTGAGCCTGCGCGTCCGGAGCCTGTGCTCCGCAACGGGAGAGGCCACAACAGTGAGAGGCCCACGTACCGCAAAAAACAAAACAAAACAAAAAAATTATCATGTGGATAATCTAACTGACATGTGCAGGATGCACTGAACAGGAGGCCACAGGAGCTGCGTTCATTATTGTTACAGTCCTGATAGGAGACGGTGAGAGCGCTAGCGAGAATGGAATAGAAGCAGAAAGTTGATTTCCAAAGGTTTTGAGATGAAGACGTGCACAGGACCCACTCGGGGCTCCACATGGGAGCAGGGAGGGTTCCAGGCCCGCATGACTAGGCAGATGGTCATCCATGGCATCCTCAGCTGTGGATATGATGTCTTTAATCAGGGGTCCCCAACCCCTAGGGCCGCAGACCGGTACTGGTCCACGGCCCATTAGGAACCGGGCCATACAGCAGGTGGTGAGCGGCGGGCGAGTGAGGGAAGCTTCATCTGCCAGTTCCCGTCACCCCCCACCGCTTGCATTACTGACTGAACCGTCTCCCCCTGCTGTCCATGGAGAAATTGTCTTCCATGAAACCAGTCCCCCGGTGCCAAAAAGGTTGGGGACCGTTGGCTCTAATGACTATTCTACATCCATGTCCTTTGTCCCCATGACAGGTTATTTTTACTCTCAAGACCCAGCCCAGATCTGGAGGGTGGCGGAGCGGCTGGAAGTTGGCATGGTTGGCGTTAACGAAGGATTGATCTCCTCCGTGGAGTGCCCTTTCGGTGGGGTGAAGCAGTCTGGCCTTGGACGAGAGGGCTCCAAGTATGGCATTGACGAGTACCTGGAGCTCAAGTACGTGTGCTTTGGAGGCTTATAGGATTCTTTAGTTCTTTAAAAAATAAGAAAGGAAGCTTCGCCACATGTATGGGGACATGCCATCCATTATTTTACATAAGCCCATAGGGTATCTGAATTAGGATTTTTTTTT